CCTCACAGGGCCCATCTGCAGCAGCAATGCCTGCCCCACAGGTACCTTATCTCTGAGGCTTTTTTTCCTCTATGAATGTTGCAAACCTTGAATATGTGTGTGTGTGTATACTTATCTGAGAACACGGACAATTATTATATCTCACACACATTCCAATTTACTTTTGCATTTTTGACTCTGGAGGTCGGATTCCTCGCCTTGGATTTACTGTAGGTTTTACTTCCTGGAAGCTGGAGTAAGTTGCACCATAAGACTTTTGTACATTTGTACTTTTGTATATTTGTTCTACGTGAAAATAAGGAAACTGATAATCTCCTTAGAGTCAGGAGCAATTTGACCATCAACTCAGATTTGAGCCAAACAAGACAGTGAGGTCTTAATAGCTTTTGGTGATTTTCTGAAGTCTGAAATGAGCTATTCCCTAGAATATTTTTCAAGGAAGGGCCAGGCTACTTTATTATGAATATAAATCTAGCAGCAGTAAGTTAACTTTTTTGCTTTATTTTCATGAGCTCCTTAAAAGTTTTCTGTAGACAGTCCAGGGTTTGCTTGCCACATCACACACACCCAGAAAACCCCCCAAAAACAGTGTCTGTGGAGGAGCACCCACATGGTGAAAATCAGAGTATCGGTGTTCCTGTGGACACAACAGGCAGAGAGACTGTGGACATCTGTTGCCAGGAATCAGTGTTCAAACACACCTCAGGCACTTGTCTGTACCTGAATAAAGCCCGCAATTGGCCTTGTCAATGTGAAATGGAGCCAAGGTCACAAAGATAGTATTAATTACACATCATCACAGTTGAGCAACTATTTCTTTTATTGTCTTGTGCAAGTCATTTTATTGTAAAGTAGTGCTCACTAAGACAGTAAATGGCAAAACATGGAAGTCTCTTCTCCATCACGTCCATTTTTCACTTCCTCCTGGCAGTCAACATCTTTGGAAATGAAAGTTCAAAATGGTTTCCCTTGGTTTTTTTGTCAGTGTGTCAGTCGTTCAAGCTGAAGGAAGTGTGGAATAAAAAAGAAGTTATCCTCTACAGGGACACTGAACTCCCCAAGAAATCTTTCAGCAGCAGTTTCAGCACAGTTGAAATGAGTTGGCTCAGTTAGTTTCTTCCTCATCTTAGGATTTCTGCCAGATGTCTCTGTGGACTATAAAATCTGCATTCTTTGTGCCCACTATGAGTGATACATCCTTGCTCTGCAGCACCAGACCTTCAGCCTGTCCTTTGCCAAGCCAAGAGCAACCTCAGCCCCTTCAGCTCCATGGACAACCTGTGCTTACACAGCCTCGGCTTTCTGCCCTGCGTCTTCCTCCTAAGGAGGAAGGAGGCAGGGAACCCCCACCCCCTCACCTGACAGACACAGTCAGCACAATTCTTTCCAGTGGACTGCCAAACCTTTCATTTATTGCCTTAGTGCACCCACTGTGCAGTGTCATTTACTGCCTTATTGCACCCACTGTGCAGTGTCATGCACGCGGAAGTAGGGGGGCATAAAGGATCATGTCATCTCTGAGCAAATAAATTCAAGGTCCCTTAAGTAAAGCACAACTGTAATGCACTTAAAATCTGTGCTTTCCTCTATTTTCTCTCAAGTACTTTTATTGCCATTTATATATATATCCCCTGAAAAAGCAGTTAATAACATGACAGCTTTTGGGGGAAAATAAGCTCTGATGAAGCTGGAAAATCCGTTTGATAAATATTTGGCCATGCTGCCACATGAGAGGCAACACAAAATGCATGCAGGTTTTTCTATTAAGCAGCCACCTAATGCTGTTGAAGCTTCTCCTCAAAACACTCCCCTGATGCTATGTACGTGCTGCTGCTTGCAAAGTTAAGCTGGAGGTAAAATTATTTCCCTTCTATATAGAATCATAGAATCATTAAGGTTGGAAAAGATCCCTAAGATTACGGAATCCAACCTCTAACCCAGCACGGCCATGTTCACCACTAAACCACGTCCTAAAGTGCCACATCCTCACACCTTTTGAATACTTCCAGGGGTGGTGATTCCACCGCTTCCTTGAACAGCCTGTTTCAATGCCTAACCACCATTTCAGTGAAGGAGTTTCTTCTAATATCAAATCTAAACTTCACCAGGTACAGCTTGAGACCATTTTCTCTCCTGTCACTTGTTACCCGGGAGATGAGACCAACTCCCACCTGCCTACAACCTCCTTTCAGAGACTTGTTGAGAGCGAGATACTTTTCATTCAGAGCTGAAGGTTCCAAATGCTTTCATGTCAGTCTAGGAAAAAACCCCAAGGTCCTGCGGAATGGGCATTGCTTTCCCCACTGCCCTCACAGCTTGTTACAGGCTTGGTTCTGTTCTTTACGCAGTTGAAGCAACTTCTTTATATTAGCTGTATTTCCTTATTACTCCACCTGCCATAGCCAAGCTCTGCAATTTAGAGGAACTGTGTTCTGCTGATGTAAGCATTTGGGAGTGGGTTTCGTTTGTTTTTCATTAGGATGTGGATTTACAGTCCCTCTTCCAGAAATTAAAGCTGTATTTTTAGAAGTTTTGAACTTGGCATTGAATACTGTTTTTGTTGTCGGTTTCGTTTTGGTTTAATTGTACTAGACCTTTCTGCTCTGTTCAGACAAAATCACATATGTACAGCTGCCTGGAAGTGACAGGAAAAGAGAAGTACTGTAAAACAAATTGTTTCTTTTGTGATTTTCTTTGTAATTCTGGTACTGCATGTAGCACACTCCGTTAAAATTTGCTCTGGCCTTTTGCCTCTACCACAAACTACAGGGAGGCACTGCAGGAAACTCACCTCTCCAGTACACCAGGAGCCTTCAGCTAGTACCTAAACTTCACATTATCCATGGCCAGTTAATGTCCCCATTTTTTCTTGTCTGCTTTGTTTTGAAGCTTCAACAGAGCTTGTCTTCACGGTATTTGTACTGCGAAGTGTTTCGAAATAAACTAATGGCCCTCTCCCAGCTTTTGCCAAAAGGAAATAACCAAGTGCCCACAAAATACATTCTCTACATTTTGCTTACCACACCAGTCCCTCATCACAACAGTTGTGCTTTCAGTGTCTCTCTTGAATACCAGCTAATCACAGTGTCGTGCTGGTGCAGGTGATGTGGTACCTTAATTTTCAGCTGGCTTTTTAGTCACCCAGAGGATGCTCTGATCTTTCCACACAGTCACACCTTTCTGACCTAGTCAAACCCCCTTTTTATTAAAAATGAAAAATAGTAAGTTTCTGAACAATTATGTGATATGACTTTAAGTAGCTCAGATTTGGGAAGAGCTCACATTCTGTAGTGCCTTTGAACCAACTGGTGTCCTTTGTTCAATGCCAAGCCACGTTACCAGTGGCTGGCAACACGCCTGACCTGCTGCCCTGGTGGCCCCTGGGGCTGAGCTCCTGCCAGCCAGACTGGCTGGCCTGTGTGCTCTGGCTCAAGCTGTTTGCTCCCCGCAGCTCCGGAGCCAAGTACCTGCAGCAAATACTTTCAAACGGAGGGAAAAATCTGGCCCCCTTGCATCACCACCTCCATATTTACCAAGAAACACACAAATAGCAAAATCCAGGCACAGTTTGCCTTGGCTGACCCTATGGAGAGTCCCTCCCTTGTCAAAGGTGAGCGTGAAATCTCTCATGTGCCACTGTGTTAAGTGGGCTCCTAAGGAAAAGATCCAGCCCCACCATGAAGGGATGCTTTGGCAACCTCTCCCTGCATCCCTGCAGGAACCAGCACCCTACTTTTGTAGGGCTAATCCTGGACAAAGAGCTGTTCTTGCTTTGATACACCTTTCTATGAAGTACAATGGGAGCACGCGCAGGCAAAGGTTCATGTTAGTTACCCCGTTTTCTGGTCCACAAAGGAACTGGAAGTGTTTCAGTAGGCCTTTGCCAGGCACATTTGACCTTCCTGCTGCCTGCAAAAGCATTTATCATCTCAATATCCTGTGGAGGAACGTTTGGAAAAGGAAGATAACAAGAAAGGCAAGGTTTGACAGTGGAGGAGAAACTTCCAGAGGACAGTGTTTATTTATGCAAAAGCACACTACCTAATAATAAAGCTGATGCTTAGAGACAGGTCTACTTGAGAACTTTTTAGTAGACTGTATCTAAATACAGCAGAGAGTGTCCTTGTGAAGATTAGAAATAGAATGGCTTGGGAATGAAAGGAGAAGATGCACCTACACCTGCCAAACAGGGTTTTACTCAGGAAGTAGCTCAGCTTTTTTTGTTTTGCACTTGAAAAATTACTTCTTATTTCTGTGTATTAATCATAAAATGCTCACACAAATAACATCCTCAGTACTATACAGCCTAGAACCTCAACCTTCCTTAGTTTTTCAGGCAATTAACCTAAAACACAGTTATAGGTTATCTTCGTAAAATGCATTTTGAGATGAACTTGGAAAACTCCCAGAGAAAACATGAAATTATTTTCAAGTTTAGGACATGAGGACTGTTTTGGAACTTCGATTTTTACTCTGTTTAGCTACACCTTCTTCTTCCTCTCATTACAAGACAAATGCTTGTGACAAGCCATCATCGAACGAAGGACACCAGTAGGTTCAAAGGCACTACAAAATGGGAGCTCTTCCCAAATCTGAGCTACTCAAAGACACTGCAATGTATTAAAAATGGATGAATAACTTTTGCCACCTCTTTGAGATGATACTAAGTAGTATTAAGAAACTGATCCATCCTAACTACATCACAAGACTTTTTAATTACTAGTAAATAGTTTATAAACAAAGTTCAACGGGGAGTTGGATGCATCCAATTCTCCCTCTACAAAATGCAACTTTGTCACATAATTGTTTAGAAACATAGTATTTTTAAACTGTCTTTTTGTTTTTTAACTTAATGCTTCCTCCACTCCAAATTTATAAAACTTATTTAAGAACAATTTCTGTGTAAGGATTGAGGATGCCCTAAAAGCAGTCACACTTCCTAATATTTTCATGTATTTCTATCTTACATGCAGTCAGGCTGAAAAATCTACTATTTCTGATTTGCTTAAAATGTATTTGACGTCACTGATGCAAATAGTAAAAGAAAAAGCAACTTTACAGGATGTACATTAAAATGAAGTGTTCAGAACTGGCAGTTCCAGCCCCAAAAAGGAACTTCTGTGACCAAAGCCATTGACTCATTAGATGCTTTCTTTTTCCTGCACCAAGAGCTGCTTCGCCTGTTCACCATCACTGGCAATGCAAAATTACCCTTAGCAAACCCTGGACACATGGCTCTGGACTGCAAGGTCTCTCAGAAATACTGGTTTAAAAAAACCTTAAAAATATCATTTCCATCTTTGGAGCCAGAGCAGTACTGAGCCTTGTTATTGCTGTGACTACACACAAAAGTTGTGCCCTACCACTCAAAGAGGAGAGCAGACATCAGGAAAGGTGGTTGGGATACCATAATGAGCTTGGCAACCAAACCTTCTGTATCACCAAACCACAGCCCCACATGCAGGCATACACAGTCACCCATGGAGAAAAGTGTGCTTGCGCTGCCAACCAGCATGGAAACTCAGGTAAGCTCCACTGTATCCTTATCCCGGAACAGCTGTGCCTGCTCCTCCTTCCACAGAAATTGTCTTCACAACACGTCATACAAGCTCTTTAACACCAGGAGTCAAAGACAAGGTTAAACACCGCGTACATCGCGGAATGGGGAGAGCATAAGCCAGTTGAAAACGTGAACAGTTTTAAGCAATGTAACTGTTAGCCTGCACTTGCTATTTTTATTGTTTCTAGGCATCCTCCTAGAAACAAGTTCTTCCTGTAAGACTACAAATAAAACCAGTAGGCCTAAGTCAAAACAAGCGGAATTAAAAAATAGAAGTATGACAACACGTAGCATGACAAATTTGTAGCTCAGGGTCAGCCAGCAGTCATGGACACTTGGCAATAGTTCTGGGCTACTCTGTTTTTGTTCAAAGTCAGTAGTCTGTGTTCAAGTCACTCTTGACAAACAAGCTCAGCCCACTCTGTGCAGGCAACTTCACAGAAGCCTGTTCTTTTCACATGAGAAGCACCCACTGTCAGCAACCACAGCAAGAGCAAAAGACAATCCTAAATACTTCTCTATTGACTTATTATGAACCTCACACACTCAAAAGTCCTGACTGCTTTTAGACATCTCAGGATGAAAACAGTTATTGCAATTCTTTCATGCAGCAAGCTCCAACTCAAACTGAGAATTATTCTTGTAATAAACCGGACCATCAAACATGTACAGGCAGATTTTATTTACATCCTGAAATAATTTTGCATTTTTGCCCGTGCCATCACTAAGAGACATACGTTTTCTATAAAATCTTGCAATCGGTCTTCAGAGCTTGACACAAGCTCTTGACACCACACAGGACCAGCAGAGCAGCTTCACTTACTGAAGCTTCTACAGAGATTGAAGTTATTTACAGATAATCAAAACTTGCATTGTAGGATCATCTCAACCGCATGATTTTAGAAACAAGAATGTTTTCACCAGCTTTTATAAATAAACAGTATAAAGCAGCTATATTTATATTAAAAGTTTTTTCCTTCTTACAGTACTTACATTTTAGCAGGACTAAAATATGAGTATTTATAATAATTTCAACTATCTGTTTTCTAAAGGCTCTTCTACATTTTTAAGTCCTTTTGTTTCCACAAATTTCCAAGCACAATCCCTGTAAAGAGCAGAATTCCTACAGTACGATTTGAAGCAAATTTCTTCCAACAGTCTTCAGGCTTGTCTATGTCCAAAGTGTAAATCTGCAAAAGCACAGTAAAACATTACAGGATTATTATTCTACAGACACTTAAATATTGGATACATCACAAAATGACACAAAAAGGTATGCAACTTCAAAAAATTATTCTTAAATTCTAAAGTCTACCCTTACCTCCACAAGAAACAGGTATACTCTGTGCTTAAAAAAGAGTTTTTGCATAACTGGCGTCTATGTTTGACAGATTTATTCAACATACAGCAGAAAAGCCAAGGATCACATATGAACATGATTCCCAGACCATCTCAATGAAAGAATATATAAACAGCCTGGTTACTGGTGTGTCCAGTTTGATATTTAAAAGTGTGAAAATATCTGGGCATGTCAATAAGTCTTTTTGAGATCTTCCTTTGTAGGTAGTCACCTAATCCTTCAGTGGGAACTTTAATTAAAGATAAACCCCCCAGAACATGCTGACATCTTTCAATCCCTGCTGCAAGGTGTTGTCCCATGTTTCAGAAGAAGCAAGGAACTGGAGAGCCAGAAGTTAACCAGGCTAGATGGAAAGCACAGGAAAGTGCCAGGCCCTGCCTTGTCACACACAGTTGGTTCAGTCCAGTTGCTCTTAGTCATGTCCATTCAATTCCTTTGCAAACAAGAACCAGGACACCTGAAACAGCAGCTAGAACCAAGGCTTGGCTTACCCAACAGAGCAGCTGTTTGCTGTGAGTCACAGCTAAAGGTAAAAAAAAACCACAAGGAATAGCAAGAGCAAAGTTACTGAAAAATATTCCCAAAACCAAAATTTGGTGCAAATGTCTTGAGAATGATGACAAGAGGAAATATTAAGCAAAATGAGTGAAAGGATTAATGGAAAAGTACCCCCTAAAACCTCAAACCTTGCAATTCAGCCTTTGAAAAAGTTAGAACATATTCAAGTAAAAGAAGTGAAACCTTCTCCAGGAAATGAGTTTCTCTGCCATTTGTGGGTGTACAGAGAAAACAGGGCTGGGTCCTGATCAAATAAACAGAAACATTGTTCACAAGCTTCAAAGTCATGTTATCCACACCCTTTAAAACCTGTTAGCCCCTCAAACACTGTGAACTTGAAACACTGAAGTGACAAATAAAACGCAATGGCAGCCAAGCCATGAGAAATACTTTCAGAAACACAAAGAAAGTAAAAGATGTCATGTTTCGATCAGTGAACGGCTTGAGAGGGATATAATTTGTCATCATCATCGTGACCCAAATCCCTCTGTCTCGTGCAAAAATTCAGTGAATTAAGGAAAACCTAGCCCTCAAGCAGCTTACTCAGCTTTCTAAACTCCATTAAGCACACGATCAGAAGCCCTGAACAAGAAGATAAGCATGAGAATGTTTAAGCAAGATTAATACTAAAATAATCCCTCAAAAAGAAGCTACTCTGTGGTACACAGAACAGTGCTGCTCTTGTGACTTTGGCAGTCCACAGAGTCATGCATTCTCCATCAGTTACATTCAATAGCTCCGCATCCTCACTTATAAAAATCCTCCCTGCAGCAAAGTGATTTTCATTTCAGCCAAAACTACAGTGTGAAGCCTCTCTGACAATTCAAAATGTAAATGGTCATGCAGCTGACATAGTATTCTTTCCCTCATAGATTTCCAAGCACAATCACTGTGAAAGCAGTGGCTGAGTGCCAGACTACATCACCACAGGAATTCTCTTACTCAGAGGTGTGTTTAATATCCATTACCTGCATGAGCTGAGCTCCACCCATAAAAATGTAACATAAGACTAATGTGCTTTACAAAGTCCACATTAACCACAGACTTCTCAAACGGCCAATGCTTTCAATAGTTGCAATACACAAACCTCTGCCATCACTCACTGCCATCAAGACCAACAACTGATTTTTGTGTAGGCTGATTTGTTACTACAAAACTGTGCAATGCAGTTGTTAGGATTCAGAAAGAACATGGTAGCAAGATCCTATCCGCTTCCTTTACTGACAAAGCCAATTTCTTTCTTTCTGTTATTCACTAAAACTTCTGAACTAATGCAACTGCAAGACTGAATCAGATTGTTCTCTGCTAGAAGAAGAACTGTGAATTAGAACTGTCAATTACCACAAAATTATGATACTAACATCTGCTATCATAACAGCTGTATCAGAATAGTAAATTTTTTTATCTTGCAGGATATTGAGGTGGATTCTAGCAGCAGCTGCTACTGGGAGTGAGACAAAAAACATCTTGAGATCACAACTTAACATGAGGCACCTCTTTTGGTTAGGAGCAGACTGAAACACAGTGCTCCACAATCTGTGGACTGAAGGTCTCTTGAAACAAAAGGTCTGCAAAAGGTACTTAAGAGAAGCAAGCTTATGGTCAGAAGATTTCGGTCCTCTTTATAGGAACTGTTTTTTTTTCAAGTAAATGGTGAATAGATGTGGGTTGAAAAGTGCTCTGATTTCTTATTAAGAACTTCCCCATGGAAAAAGTATGAATAAATCCATCAAACCTGGTGTGCTAGGTGAGCCCCTACAGCAGCCACGGCTGAGTAATACGGCAACGTCTGGTTACAGTTCATCCCTGCCACGCACAGACTCAGGAGCATGGCAAGGCTGAAGCCACTGAGCCACTGTTTTGTATCCTCCTTGAACTGTAATGCAGTTGATTTCACTCCAATCATGATGTCGTCCTTCTTATCCTAGAACGAAAGGATGGTTTAGCAAAAAAAAAATCCGCAATTCAGTGTCGCTTCATAATGAAAATAAAAAGAGAGGCTTTGCTTAAATTCCCAATGCTTCTTACTAGGAATCCAATTTAAGTACATTTGTAGGCCTCTACATTAAAATTTAAATTAGAAGGCTGGTCTTAGAGCTGCTTTAGCAGCCAAGAGCTAATACCAACATCAAATTTGTTTACACAATGCAAATGCATAAGAGTGCAAAGGATATTTTACTTCCATCTTTCTATCTGATAAATAAAACATTTGCAAACAACAATGAAACACCAAAGAGCTGGGACTTCTTTGGTGCTGTTTTAGCTCAGCTGAGGCTGAAGAACTGCCACATGTTAGTTCTGCTCTTTGACAACAATGTTGTAATTAAACACACAGACTTGTGTATTTGACCACAGAGATCTGAAATTTCTCAGTGTTACTCTACCTGATGTGCATAAATGGTATCGTATATCAGTGTCCACAGGACTCCAGACAAGTACAAGGGCAAACACACGGACCACTCACATGACCCTTTGATGGCAGACCAGCCAAGAAGGGCTCCCCAGTTAAATGTAAGTCCTAAAAACACAAAGAGTTAAAAGAAAGAGAAAAAAGTTACAAGAATGCACATAATGAAATATTATTTGTTCAATAATATTGTACCTTTTTGTACAATACCAGGATCTCTATTTTTCTATCACTTATTTTCAGGCAAGTAATAAATATAATTAATTTGGCATTAAATACTCTGGATATACAAGGAAAAATACACATGTCACACATTTTTCCCTAATTTAAATTTGACTTCATTAGTGTAGGGAAACATTTGCACAGAAGTATTCCAGTATACTCAAACAACAGGACTAAAGTTAAAATGCCTAAATGTCAGTATAACAAAAGATATCAGCATAACTGACTGCAAAACACTACACGGCAGCCAACTGTGGTCCTTTAAGGCTAAAAATGACAATTTTGGTAAAGACACCCTCTGAAGACAGCTGGAATGTGAAAGACAGTATACATAGATATGTTTCAGTAGCTCAGCCTGAAATACAAGCATCATCAGAATCTGTACTGGAGTTATTTTAGAGGATGAAGACTGAAATGCAGGACAAACTTCTATTTAAGAAAGGTTTTGAGATAACCTCAAAACTAAATCTCATTCCCAAATGACAAATATTTATTTTCTCACTCCCTTTCTTCCTCCTATCACTCCATCAAAACAAAGAATTGATTTCTAACCAAAAAACCCCAAACCCACACATCAACTCATGCATGTTATAAATTAAGCTTCTCATACAACGGAGTTTTGTCTATAAGGTATTTCTATTTTGATATAGAGTTATAAAAAATCAGATTGCAAAAGTATGAATACTAATTTGTAAAACATCCGAAAAACTGCATCTGAAGAAAAAATAGTAAAAATATTTCCAGCTCACCCAAAACCAGCTGTGGCCAATATGTTATTCTCTTCATCAGAGGGTAGGTGACCACAAGAGACAAAGAGGCTGCTCCCAGAACGATACTGTAAAAAGTACCAAGAGGATTATTGTTTGCCAGGCTGAAGATCACTAGATGTAGTGCAGCATTATGGGAGCTGTACATAGTACTGAACTAATTATTTTACTTTAAAATACAATCCATTACTGATAACCCCCTCCCTCCGCCCCCAACACTTTTTCTGCTGAAAATCTCTGTGCTTAACTCTGGACTCAGATTCAAATTTTAAAAAACAAAAGATCACTCATACGTCACCTGTAGTAATTCAGACACAGAAGCACACAGAGTGCCAAGCTAAGCTGCCCCCCGAGAAAAACAAAGGACTGAAAAGTGGAGATATCTCCAGCTGCCAGGGGTCTACTTGCTGTCCTTGCAACCTGAAAAACGGAAATTATGTTAACACCAGATCCAACACAGAATCACAGAACGGTTTGGATTGGAAGGGGTCTAAAAGATCATCTAGTTCCAAGCAGGGAACCTTCCACTAGACCGGATTGCTCAGAGCCCCTTCCAACATAACATATTCCAAACTATCTTTTGTAACTAAAAGTCACACTATTGGCACGTAAGTGTGAAAATAAGCAAAAACAGGTCACAGAATGCATGAGATGGGTTCCTTCAATGATAAAACACAGAAATACATCAAGGATTTCTAAGCAGCAGTGCCTATAACCGAAGCATGAGGGCTTTAAAAACTAGTGCAGAACTAAGGTGCCACTCGTATGGAGCGAGGCTGATTAGAAACACTGCAGACATCTTGCACATGAATTTTATCACCTTAGGGAAAAAAAAAAATCAGACTTAAAAAGTTGTGAGCTAACTATCCTGATTTCAAACGGCACTTCTGTGCTTAAATGCTTTAATATGACTACCATGTAAAATCTCATGAAGATGCAGAGCTCCTCAAGCACACACAACCATAGCTAATGGTTATGTACCACCAAGCACTTCTGTGCAGGCAGAACTGAGGTCAGGCTTTGCCTAATGATCTCAGAAGGCTGTCTTGTAATGGCCTGACAGCATTGATTTTGCTCTGAGGCCATTGAGGTTCATACTGGTAAGTAAGCAGATTCCAGGAAGGCAACTCCTCCTCCCTACCACCACAGTAGCATTTGGAGAGTTTTTCAACCAAGAATGGGAAAAACACACTGAGAGCACTGCTAGAAGAAGGGTTAATGGTCTAGCTGAGAGAGAAAGAGTGAGCAGTAAAGCTGATGTAACAGAAATTATGGGAAAAGACATGTCTGAAAATACTTGAAATTGATGATGTTATCACATTTTTTTTATATATACTCTAAAGCAATTTACATCCAAACAGCCTGGCAGGTTTAAATTTTAAATTAAGTTGGTTTGGAATTATGAATAAGGCCATTAAGTATGGCCTTAATAATCTTTTACTGCACGGATTCTGTAAATGCAGCAGGGAAAAGAACATCAAATATTTGCATTTGAGTAACTGATGGGCAATTTAAAACAATTGTTTTCTATTTTCTGGGGAGAAATGAAAGGTCCCTAGTTCTATTCTTTACATTTGTTTCTCTCTAATGGGATTTTCAGAATCCAGTCCCATCGATCTAGGGCTAATAACAATGAAAAGACAAATAATTTAATCCTAGTTGGGATACCAAGGAGTTCCAAAACTCTGTCTGGAATAATAAATCATACAAGGCAAACTGAAGAAAGAAACAAATATCAGAAAAAAGTTAAAACTATATGAATGGTGAGTTACTTGCCGAAGGCAACAATTCCAAAAAAAACCCAAACGACTGAAATTCACCTCAACATGAGGAAGAACTTTTTTTACACTGAGGGTGGCAGAGCCCTGCAACAGGCTGCCCAGGGAGGCTGTGGAGTTTCCCTCTCTGGAGACATTCCAAACCCACCTGGATGTGTTCCTATGTAACCTGCTCCAGGCGAGCCTGCCTTGGCAAGAGAGTTGCACTGGATGATCTCCAGAGGTCCCTTCCAACCCTAACGGTTCTGTGATTCTGTGAAATTGTGCATGTTGATGAAAATAATGTAAAATGTTTATTTGAAGAGGTTCAAAAGCCAACTTGTTACAGAATATTATGTATGTATGAAGTGTCTTGCACATGCTTTTGTAGATTAAACATTCACTTAACATATCTGTGACCAATTCCACTGCACATTGCAACCAGAGATGGGATATTTCACTTAAAAAAAACATTTACCAAATAATAAATAACACAAAATCTAACCCCCAAACCACTATCACCAACACCAGCCAACATCCTGCTGTTGACTCAGCTTCTCGCACTTGTGTTCAAGGCAGGCTTTTAAGGTACATCAAAAAAAGCCAAGGAGGCAATTTTTAAACCTTTACATCTCACCACACCACATAAGGGAGAAATTAAGTCACTATACTGAAAATTCCCTCATACTAATCACATCCCCCCCATCAAATATGTTTAGCACATGCAGTTGTTAGTATCTTCTAAGGCCTGAACCATCCAAAGCTGCCACAAAGCCTGTACTGACTCATTGCCTTCCCAACAATACAACAGTGCTGTAGTAAGAACTCCACGTGCTGGATTGGCTCATTATTCTGTCTCTTGCCAGCACCAAAACCCAAAACCAGAGAAACAATATAGGAACAGAAAATAGGACCAGCAAACAGTGACACATCACCAAGATACTTTTCAACACCTGACACTGGGCACTGCCTTTTGCTTATTTCCTTCTCCTGAACAAAAAGGAGATGATAAAAGAAAAATACAACACAATAGAAGGGGATAGGCTCCGGGTTGGGCATGATACTCTAAATAGCCATTCTCATGAAGAAATTAACAATACAAGGAAACACTGCTCCTGAAATTAAGGGGGGGGGGAAGTGATTCTTAGTGCAGCAAAAAGGTGTTACTTGTTTTGTTGTCAGGCAAAACAATGCTGAGAAATAAACTTAAGTACTACCAACAGCTGACAACTGCATGTGTTTTATCCTATTTGGAGGTAAGTACTCCAGATGACTTATTACAGTCCTAGAGAGAAATGTTATACAAAATAATTTCTACTATTTTAGGAGGAAACGCAGACAAATTAATTGCATGCACGTCAGAGAGAAACATGGAGGAGATTCTGAACCTGCAGCCCTATGATTGCACTCAGCAAGGCAGCACTGGTGATGTTCACGTACTTCGGTGCCTTCAAGATCCCTGGTGCCTGGCTAAAAAAGCCCCAGCTACTAAAATAGCACCTGTTCAAGTGCAGTCTTCCTCTATGGAAACATTCCAAACCCACTTGGACGTGTTCCTGTGTAATCTGCTCCATGTGACCCTGCCTTGGCAGGGGTGTTGGACTTGATGATCTCTGAGGGCCCTTCCAACCCTAATGGTTCTGTGATTCTGTGATGCTGGAGATGAGTGGACATGTGCTCGGTTCACTGAATCACAGAATGGTTTGGGTTGGAAGGAGACCTTTAAGGATCACCTAGTTCCAACCCCCCTGCCATAGGCAGGGACACCTTCCACCAGGCCAGGTGGCTCAAAGCCCCATCCAATCTGGCCTTGAACACCTCCAGGGATGGGGTGTCCACAACTTCTTTGGGCAACCTGTTCCAGTGCCTCATCACCCTCACAGTAAAGAATTTCTTCCCTATATCTAAGCTAAACCTACTGTCTTTCAACTTGAACCCATTTCCGCTTGTCCTGCCGCTACACACTCTTGTAAATAATCTTGCCCCATCTTTCCCGTAAGTTCCCTTCAGGTACTGGGAGGCAGCATCAACCAGCATTGCCCACGTCTCTGCAAGCCCTCGGGGGCCCCTCTACCTTTCTGTCAAAGTCGCGATCCCACATGTCATTGATGGTGCAGCCGGCGCCCCGCATGAGCACGGCCCCCACGCCGAACAGGGACAGCATGTGCCAGTCCGGGAGGCAGCCGGGATCGGCCGCCAGCCCGATGCTCCAGGTGCATGGCAGGTACAGCAGCCACGTCCCTGCGGGGAGACAAAACCCGCGGGTGGCGTGAGCGGGGGATGAACGGGAGGCCACCGCGGGCACGGGGGCCCCGGCCCTCCCCGCGCTCACCGGCGGGCTGGTGCAGCCGCATGAGCCGCAGGTAGGGCTGCAGCGGGCCCGGCGCGGCGCGCACCAGCTCGGCCGCCGAGAAGCTGCGCGGCCGCGGGTGCTCGCAGGGGCGGCGGCGAGACAGCAACAGCGGCGGCGGGGCTGCGGCGAGGGGCGGGCGGGCAGCGCAGAGCCTGGCGGGGCCCCGGAGCCCGGCGGGGCCCCGGCACAGCCGCGACAGCAGCGCTGCCGCCATCTTGGCCCCGGCGGGGCGCCGTGACGGGGCCCCACGCATGCGCAGGGCCCGTGGCCGGGACTGTGGCAAACCGGGCTCCCTTGTCATCACCGGGACATAATGTGTTGGTGTTTCAGCGTGTGTGTCGTCTCCCAAACCTTTCCACGTTATATCGTTAATGAAAAAAAAAAAAAAGCAAATAAAATGCCCATGGCAGGAAACAGTTGATCTTTAAGGTCCCTTCTAATCCAAACCATTTTATGGATTTCCGCAGGAAATGGGGCAAAACCCGGGCTGGATTTTGGCCGGAGTACGGAATGGGGAAAAACCCGGACTGGATTTTTCTGGAGTACAGCATGGGGGAAAACCCGGGCTGGATGTTTCTGGAGACTGGATTCCCCCCCAAAGAAAAAAAAAAATTAAGAAAAAAAATGAAGTGTTGGACTTGATGATCTCAGAGGTCCTTTCCAACCTGGTTGATTCTATGATTCTATGTGAGTGGCCTAAAATGGAATAAACTATTTTCTGGTTGCAACTGCTCTGTAAAATACAATGGTAGACTGCATAATTCATACTTTGTTCTTTGCAGAGAAAGCAAAAAGGTGTTAAGAAAATGTGGGGTTTTTTTTTAATCTGTGGTCCTTTATCTTCATCGATATTGCATTTACTCTAGTAAACTAATGAATATTAATTTCAGCTGATTTTTTCCATTGTCTGCTTGGAAATTGTCACAGAATGGTTTGGGTTGGAAGGGACTTTAAAGATCATCTAGTTCCAAACCCCCTGCTGTGGGCAGGGATGCTTCCCACTAGGCCAGATTGCTCAAAGCCCCATCCAACCTGGCCTTGAAGACTTTCAGGAGTGGGGTATGCACAACTTCTCTGGGCATCCTGTGTCAGTGCCTCACCACCCCGATAGGAAAGAATTTCCTCCTAACATCTAATCCAAACTTACCCTCTGCCCATTTAATGCCATTCCCCCTTGTCCTATCACTCCATGCCATTGTAAAAAGTCCCTTTTCATCTCTCTTGTAGCCCCCTTTAGGTACTGGACAATGCTATAACATCTCTCTGGAGCCTTTTGTTCTTAGCACCTGGAAAAAGGCTTTACAGGGTTGGTTTTGTTAGCACATTTCCTTTCTCCCTAGCTATTGAGATGTTTTGCTTTTTGCTGTCTTGCTGTGGCTAAGAGATACACACTTTGCAGCCGACCATCTGTCTCCTTGCAGAGCCACTTTGCAGACTTGGAGAAGCCACACATGAAGGGGATCGGAGCCACGAGCCAGCGGCAGAGCCCTGGTCGGGCCCTGTGGTGAGCTCCGGCCAGAAACCACACCAGCTGCAACAGGAGGCAACAGCTCCTCCTGCCCAGCTGGGCAAGGGTGGTGCTCTTGCCGTGAGTTTTAGAAGTTCACATTTTGATTTCACTGCTGACATTTTTGCTGGGTTTTTTGTCTGACTTAAATGCCAGATGAAGGGAATGAGCTGAGGTAGGTGTTTATGATGGACTTTTTATTGTCACAAAGAGCAGATACACTTGATGAACCAGGATTGCATATAGGAGTGGGTGGCCTTTCTGTGGAAGAAAAGTATTTTCAGGGCTTGATTGCTCAGACAGTCAGTGTCACCTCAGTTCTGAATGGAGGATGAGCTATTAAAATCCTTAAAATGTTGGTGATGAGTGCTTTTTTAAAATGTGTTATCTCCCATACTGGCTGTGCATTTCAGCTTCCCATTTCCCTCCTCTCCTAGGCCAGCTGGTATTTGCTTGAGCCAGTGGGATGTCACGTATCCCCTCTTCTCGGAACTACAACTTTTTGCAAACCCCACTTCCCACAGCCTCTTGCAATGTTTTTGGAAAAAGAAATGAATCATTTATGATTCAGCCAGGGGGTAGCCAGGCAGCCCCATTGTAAAGCAGGGAGAGCCCCAGTTAAACTTTGGAGCTGTTGGAAGCTGAGGGAAGCATTCCAGGGCACGGCTCACTGTTATCTCAGGACTATTGTTAAAAGGTTTCCTTTAAAGCACCATAAATCCCAGAGTGTTATCAAAGCTCCTAAATTGCAGTTTAATTGAATTTCCCCTTTCCCTGCTCTTGTTGAGGGTAAGAGAGAAGGAGAACACGCCATCAGCACTTCCTGTGGGATGCACTGAACTTGTCTTGCTCCTGAGCAAGCACTTGCTTTGATCTTCTCTGGGCTCTCTGAACACTCTGTGCATCCTGCTGGGAAACAAAAAATGCTGTCCTGGTCCCACAGATTCTCTACAAAAGGTGGAAGTGTATCCAAAACTGTCAGTGACTTGCACAGGGCTTGAGTGGTTAGATATTTGGGGCATGTTAGTGAACAAACAGTAAATATTAGAGTCTCAAAGAGGGAAATTGATATGTGTATGGTAAGTACTTAGTTAATTTTACAGTGGCTGGGCTACATGGCTTGTGACAAGCACTTAGGGAATCAGCCTGATTTTTCTAGAAAGCCTCCACGTGGGGTGTATTTACGAAGTCAGAAATTGAAACCCAAATGCATCTGCTGAGAAGGAGCAGGGAGCACACTGCAGATTGAGAAGAGGATTAAAATCAAAGGTGTCATTGCTCCCTGCTGCCTCCTTGTCTGGGGCTGAATGGAAGTGCAGTAGGATGGCTGGGGCTTCCCCTCATGTCAGGGTCATGGCGCAGAGTGCTGACCTGTGGCGAGCTGCCCCCTGGTGCAGGTGGGTTTAGCTGCTGCTGGTTTTGACTGAGAGTGCCCTGTTTAGTCTCCTGCATCAGCAGGCTGGGGCAGGGGCTGTTCTGAGCTCCACAGAGAGGTTTCGATCACCCAGAACCCCCTGACACCGCCCCTTTTGCCACCACACTGCCCACCCACCATTGCCAAGCCTGGCTGTTAAAGCAAACAGGTCTGCACCAACTCCTTTGTTCAAAGCTTTTTCCATAAGGAAAGGGAAGAGCTCAGAGTGAAGGACTCGGAGGTGCTGTTAGTCTGGTCTGGGATATGAGAAGTACAATTTTTCTGGGTGGAAAAATGTTGGAAAAATACCTGTCCCAATGAATGCACATCATTCAGAGCTGTTCTCCCCTGAAGAGCAACAACGTGGAGGCAGAGTTAAGGGAATAAAGAATAGACAATAAACATGTAACTTTTTTTATTTTTTTTAAGACGAATAATTAAGTCTGGGAAAAGGAAACCTGTGCTCTGCAGGCTTGTTAAATCTGTAACCCTAACAACAGGGCACATGTCCACACCACCCCCTTCAAGTTACCTCCCACCCACTACACTTTGTTGGCTGCCAATAAACCTCCAAGTGTGAGCAAGTTTAGTTTCACCATCCCCAGAGCTCTTTCTGCAGGGTCCCGGCTGGCAAAGAAGCGTGCTCTTACAGAGGCTGCTCATCAGAAGGTTGGTTCTCTTAAAGCATGGAAATGTTAATAACTTGATAGCCCGGGAAAGTGGGATAATAGTAAATAAAGTAAGGATTTTTTTTTTCCTGCTTAGCACATAATTTAAATCAAACAATATTGCAAATGCTACTTGGGGAAGGGGGGAGGCTTTTAAAAAGCTATGCATGAAAGCTGAATTCTGTAGCAGTTACCTTTTCTTTGCTGCTTTCTCCTGCTGACAGAATTGTATAACTGTGTTAAAGGAATCTGACTGGTACTTTACTCTCTGTTTAAACCGGGCTGTCCTGCCACGAGGTTGGATACTGATTGCTTCTATAGGTTGCTGCCTGATCTCCCTGAGTGTTTGCTGTCCCTTCAATGGGGTATGCTATTGGTGGCAAGAGCAGCTTCATGCTGCAGTCTTAATTTTTACGGCTGAGAGATGTTTGCATGTTTGCAGCTAAGAGAGGAGAAAATATGTGAATAATATTCGTATACAGAATACTGTGCATTTGTAAAAGTGTAGAGAGATTCACCACTTGTTGGTAGCACGGCTGTGGATGGGAAGAGGGAAGCTCTCGAAGGCATCACACGCTCACATTTCCCTCTGGACACACTTGGTACTGCCTCCAGCTGCATTTCCTTCCAACTCAGGACCTTCTGTGATTTCTGTGATTCACACCGGGCTTGCAGACTGGCTTGTGCTGCCAGGTGAAGGCAGGAGTGGGATTTCTGGAGAAGCATGGGTTAATCCAAAGGGCGAAGAGTACTCCCCCTCCCCCAGCACCTCCTACTTAATTTCAGTTTCTATTCCGGCTTTTGAGCTCAGAAACTGCACAGGGAAGAGCTTTATTAGCCAGCACTGTTCTGCCTTTGCCAAGCTGCTGTTGATAAGATAAAGAGATAAAACAAACTAACCGAATTTGTAGAAAAAAGACTTCTTTTAAGTCTTAATAGATGTGAGCAGGCAGTTTATCTTATTTAGAAAAACCTAGGCCCAAAGCCAAACTTTCTTTGAATTGTTATCTAAGACAGTTTTGCACTTTTTTTACTTGGGCAGGAAGATAGAAGCAGAAAGAGTACTTATTATTATTATCATCATTATCACCACTATTATTGTCATTACCATAATTATTATCATTATTACTATTTTAGATCTGAGGCTTACTGGTTTTCAAGATTTACTTTCTTGCTTAACCACAGGAAGGCAAGGAGAGGGCATTAGACTTGGGACACAGCCTTGAGTTTCTGTCTTTTTGACTCTCTATGACAAGAAACTGGAGATATGAGTTTTCTATAGTATATCTCTTTCATGGAGCCTGGCTTTGGTACGAGGAAGTGAGACCACATGTGCTTCCCACATGCTTTGACCCCATACCAAAGCCATCTTGTGTAAAATAAGCCAAGTTCAACAACTGAAATGCCCAAGTCATTCCCTTTAGCTTGGGTTCACTGCCTAGCCTGGCTTGGCTCAAGGGAAATCAGTGAGCTGTGTCTAAGCACTAGTGAAACCTTTCTGGGGTGGAGTGGGGAGTGCCAGTGGCCTGGTGCTGTTTTGAAGGCTGGATAAAGTGGTAGAAAATGCAAAAGCATTGAAAGGACACAAATGCAGGTAAGATACGGTTGTGCTTTATCACCGATACGGTTGTGCTTTATCACCGCCAGCAACACGAAGAGAGCTGAGCAAAAGGCAGCCTGCTGAAGGGTGACGGCCCACAGTTTGGTTGGAGGTTCAGACCAACCACAGGTTTTTCACTAAGTAACCTGTTTGCTGTTCCCCACCTGTCTCTTTCAGAAGAGCATCTAGGAATGGCCTCGCAGACGATTGTGACGATCCAGCCACAGTATGGCATGCCCGCTGCCTCGAGGTGCATTTGGCAGACGGGGCTGATGGACTGCTGCTCAGACTGCGGAGTCTGTGAGTGCTGTGGGAAGTCCCCTCTCCTGACCCTCATCAGGGGTGTGCTGCAGTCAGTCACACACCCTTGAGAGACACTTCTCTTGCCCCTGCTGCTCGGCTTGGTGGTGCAATGGCTCCAGCCATGTAGCCTGGTTCTCCCAGTTCTGAGTGGGCAGGCAGATCCTCACCCTCTGCTGTGTTTCTCCCCCTGCCAGGCTGCTGTGGGATGTTCTGCTTCCCCTGCCTCGCCTGCCAAGTGGCCGGGGACATGAACGAGTGCTGCCTGTGTGGGACCAGCGTGGCCATGAGGACCCTCTACCGCACCAGATACAACATCCCGGTCAGTGGGTAACCTGCCCCCTCACCCTGCTGCGAGGCTGAAAGGCGAGGTGGCCCCCAGGGAGGTGGTGGATTCACTGTCCCTGGAGGTTTTTAAGATGAGACTGGATGTGGCATTTCGGGCCATGCTCTAGTAACCACGGCAGTGTTGGATCAAGGGTTGGGCTTGATGATCTGGGAGGTCTTTTCCAACCCAGTTTATTCGATGATTCTATGGGGGATGAGCAAAGGGCAGCAGTGCTTTCCCCTCCCCATTGTTTTCCCTTCCGTATCCTGCATGATGCCAGAGCAGGGAACAGGAGTTGAGA